AGAGAGAGAGAGAGAGAGAGAGAGAGAGAGAGAGAGAGAGAGAGAGAATATGTGTGTTTTGTGTTGGGTGGGGAAAGGCCAGGTATCAATTCCCCTATGTGGATAAGGAATGTAGGAAGGTGGGGTGGAACCCCTTCCCTTTAATGGATTTTCCAAATGGTTCAGGGTAATGTTACAGGTGGAACCACTGAGGCTGGGTGAGGAAGGGAGCCTGAATTCCTTGGGGCTCAACTGTTCATCTAGAGGGGATTCTTAATTCTCAGTCCTTCTCATGTGCCTAGACATTGGTGAAGGACGGATGGCGGCTGAGAGATAGGAATAAACAACATTTGTACTCAAGGGCCTCCTGGCCAGCTGGTTTTGGCCCTTTCCATCAGCCTGGGATGTTATTAGTGAATTGTGTGTCTTTGGCTAAATCACTTACCCTTTCTGACCTGTTGCCTCTTATGTAACTCAAGTTCTACAACACTTTCTTCATGACAGCTCTATTGAGTTGCAAGTATTATCACACCCATTTTATAAATAAAGAAACTGGCACTGAGAGAGGTCCCTTGATTTAGAGTTGGAAGTGACCTTGGAGGTCATCTAGACCCACCCCTTCATTTTACTGATAAGGAAACTGAGACCCAAAGAGGGGACAGTCCCTTGTCCAAGTTCACACAGGTAATAAGTGGGTTTGAACTCTGGTCCCATCTTAAATGACTTGTTCACGGTCACCTAGTGAGTAAGTAAAATTTAAAGTTGAGATTTGAACCCATTTCTCCAAGGCCAGCATGTCTTCCACTACTTGATGCTCATCTCTACAGTCCTTTCAGCTTTAAATCCTCTCATTCAATGGTCATTCTCTTTAATCTGTCACCCTTCCCTAAATCAGGCTTGGCTCAGCCTGGAGTGGTGGAAAGAGCAGTGGATTTGGAGTCAGAAAATGTGGGTTGAATCCTGGCTCTGTTAGTATGTGTGACCTTGGGCAAGTCACCACCCTTATGGGCCTCTTTAAAATGAGGGGGTTGGACTAGATAATCTCTACAATCCCTTCCAGCTCTAAATCCTATGAGTCAAATGGTTCCCCAACAAGTACGGCACCTGTGAAGTTTGAGATTCCCACACCCCCCCATTCCCCAAGAGAAATAGGGAGCCCAGAGAGCCTGGGGATGTCTCCAGAAGCAGTAGGTCCCTGGCCTTCAGTGTGTGGCAATAGAGTTCCACTCTCAGCTCGAGTTCTCTCCACCCATCCCAGCCCTGCCTCTGGGCACCCTGGCTCTGTCTCCCTCCCTCTCCTTGGGACCCGTACTGCTGAGCACCCCCATACTTCCCCACCACACACAGGGCTCAGAAAAGGCATCCCAGTCGTTCCCCACCACCAACCACACCCCAAATTGGCTCCCTATACCACTAGCTCCTATTAGCCAGCCTGGTGGTGGGGGCGGTGGCTTCAGTGGTTCCTGTGCCAGGCCCGGCCCCTCTAAGACGCACCTGTTCTGACCTGCTGAGCAGGTTCCCAAGTTTCTGCTGCCGTCCGCCAGCCAGCCACGGCGTGGGAAGAGGCTCTGGGGGAGCTCTGAGCACCTAGTCACGGCTTCTGGGGGGGAGCTGCTGGGGACGGGGGAGGGTGGTGCGGGGCTGGGGTAGGGGATCCCCTCGCTATCACCTCAGCTCCTAGAACAGCCCACCGGGTGGACACAGACCAGCACCTAGGGGCTTTCAGGTGGGTCTGGACAGCTGCCTTTGGGAGCTGCCAACTTTCTCTTTCCGCAACCAGAGAGAGTGGGGTGGGGGAGATCTCTTCGTTTGGCCCCCACCCCGGGGGGGAAGCAGAGAACTCGGCTGATTCCCAAGGCCTTCCTACACGCACCCCTGTCCCAGGAAGCCAAGATGTGGCAGCAGAAGCCGTGGCTGGTGCTACTCCTTGTCACCTCCTTCACAGGTAAGACACCTACCTGAATTGCCTCTTAGATCTTTCCTCTCAGGCTTTACCTCCCTGACTCCTTCTCTCCTCCTCCCCTTTCCTCCAGCGCCCCTCACTGTTCTTTACTCTGAGTCTCGTTCTGGCATAAAATTCCAAGTCTGCTCCTCACTGTTGCTGCAACTGTCCCAGAAAAGCCAGACCATCCTTCCCTTCCCCCGTCTCCCTTGATCCTATGCCAAGCCAGTGATTCTGGTATTACTAAGAAAGGCTAAAAGCTGTGTCCTGCGGTCCAGCTATTGGGTGAGTTTGGGATCAGGCAAGGAGAGTAATGTTTTGTTTAAATAGCGTTTTGTAGAGAAGACAGGAAAGTAATGAGCAGTGCCCACCCGGAGAGGCTCCCTTGTCCTAACACCAGGCTTCTTTTGCTTGTTGAGGCTAGGGCTGGCACTGGGCTGGGGCCAGGAATGTCCAGTGGGATTGATTCAAGGTTGGGTAGAGTTCCTGGCATCCCGGGAGTCAGTACAACTGCTTGCCCCTCTCTGTGAGACGCAGAGGAAGTGGGACAGGGATGTCTTGGGGGTGTGGGTGTCAGGAGCCTTCAGGCAGAAGGATGCACAGGAAGGGGCTATCCATAAGCAGCAGAGTAGCCTTCTTCACCTCAGCCCCTCCCCTCATCTGGGGAGACTAGCAGGTGCCTGGGTGGTTATGGTGGGGGTTTAGGTGGGTGGGGGCACTGGGTGGGGCCCCTTCTGGGCTAGGTGTGGTGTTCCTGGGTTGGACCCACAGGGGCTAAGGCTTCTCTGACCCCACCTCCTCATCCAAGACCCTTTAATCCTGACTATTGAAGGTGCAACCACTAGGAATTTTATCTTACAGTTCCAAGGTTGGAGGTACGGTCTGTGTACACGGGGTGGAATGGGATATATGGACTGCGGTGGTATAGGATACTAGGATCATAAATTAGAGCTGGAAAAGACCTAAAGATGTAGTCCAACCCTCTCCTTTTGTAGTTGAGGAAACTATGCCCAGAATAAGGTAGTGACTTGCCAGAGACCACAACAGTATTAAGTGTCAAAGTCAGAATTTGAACCCAAGATCTTCCCAATCCAGTACAATAGAGGGGGCCTCCTAAAAATTACCATGGGATCTGCTACTGTCCCACCCGTGGCTTAGTTGTGTAGTGGTACTATTTAGATGCGGGTAGCATATTCCCCTTGCTTAAGAATCATAAGGAGGTTTTCAGCGGAGTCCCAGCTAAAGCTGTCTGGGGGAGGAGATCAGGCCTGGACCTCACACCTGTCCTGCTATACAGGAGGGAGATGCTAGGTTCATCCTCAGCTTCCTAGGCACTGAGCCCCAGCTCTCAATCCCCTTCTCCACCCAGCTGAGACTCCTGAGTCGCATCTCCCAGACAAGGCTTCGAACTTGCTTTGTCCAAGAGGGTAGGGCCTAGTCCTTGGGGCTGGGGATCTAGACATACTCTTTCCCGTAGGCTAGCCAAGCCAAAAGAAACCAGGGAAGGGCAAGATGCACAGGTCTCTAACTTCTTTACTGATCATCGGAGAAGGTTGTTAGGATGAATGAGGGGTCACTTAACATAACTCCCCTCTAATCCAAGAGGTATCTGGAGGGGTAGAAAGGAGTTAGATACTCACAGATAGGACCTTCCTACAACCTTTTATCTAGAGGTCTGGACTGAGGGCAGACCCCCACTAGTGTATAGGGTCAAGCTATAACCTGTATTCTCGCCCCTTTCCCTGAAGGGAAGGCCTCAGTTTTCCCTAGAATGTCTGAGTCATATGCCTAGTGCCAGACTCCAAAGGAGGCTCCTTATAAAAGGTGAATCAGACTAGAAATCAGGAAAAAAAATCTGAATTCTATTTCTAGCTCAGAGACTTGCTGCCTGGGTGACCTTAGATAGGTCACCTCACCCTTTAGTCTTGTTACTTCATCTGTGAAATGAGGGGGTTGGACTATGGGGCCTTTAAGGTCCCTATCAGATCTAACATTGTATGATTTCATGGGTTCTCTCTCATCCTTTGTCTTCCTTTGACAGTCTGGAGTTGGTGAGCAAAGGGGGAGATTGAGTTATCTCAGGGAAGGGCTACAGGTCTTTCCTTGGGTGGTTGGGTGGGCTCCTCTGGGAGCTCTTCCCATTTCCATTTCAAGCATGACTTCTGTGCTGGTACCCCTCTTCCTGGCTTGGCTGTCCCCTTTCCCCACTCTTGTGGGCCATTAGAGCATGAAGCCCCAGGGGCCTGGCCCCACCCACCTACTGGCAGGAGAGAAGCCCAGGGCGGAGAGGCGCCACTAACACCACAGCCCTTTGTTTCTCCTTAATGGGATGAGTTTCCGGGTGAGGTCCCCTCCCAACCTCCCCTCTCTCCGCCCTGAGGCTGGGGGTGTGTATGTGTGTGGACAGATAGGGTTCTCTCCCCCAACAGCATCCCCGCTCCTGACCCTAGCTAGAGTTGACAGCAGGCATACATGCTGAGAAGAGCAGGACACTCGGGGTATAGGATTTCTGGATTTAGGCCAAAGCTATGGGAGACTCAACCTACCCAGAGGCTTAAGCTCAGTTTCCCTGACTGAAGCTAGTTTCCTAGAAAGGGAGGGGCCCTCAGCCCCATTTCTTTGCTTCTGTTTACATAAGGGGAGGGGGTGTCAATTTCTTTCCCATAGGATTTACCCAAACTCAAAGAACAGAGAAGGAAAGTTGATTCTTCTGTCCAAGAAGGGAGGTTCATAGGGGAGTTCTGAGATCTCCAATATCCTTTGCAAAATCTGGCCCTTCCAAAAGAATTTTTTTTTTTTTTTTTGGTGAGGGGAATGGAAAGGAGGGTATGTAGTGGCAAGAAGCATAGTTTAGTGGGAATGGAATGGAGAGAGATTTGGGTTCAGCACTTACCAGTTGCTTAACCATGGACAAAGTCACCAAATTCTTTCAAGTGTGATTATCCTTCTATTACCCCCCAGGGCTTTTATGGGAGAAAGTGCTTTGTAAAACGTTATTAGAAAGAAATATTGGGGCTCACCAAAGGTTCATGTGACCATCTCGGTCATTTGCTTTCCAAGACATCTGAAGGTCCTCTTTGGGTCAGTGTCCTGGATATCACAAACCACAGGTCCGAGCTCCTACCCTATCCCCTAGGACCTGAGAGCACCCCAGGTGCAGAGTGGAGCAAGGAACCCAGGCATCTTGACCTCTAGGAGCCCCCTATTACTCACAACAATACCCACTGAAGCCCAGGGAGAGCAAAGAGTGTCCCAAACTGAAAGAGGCTCTAGAATCCAGACCTGGAACCCAGATTCCAGAATCCATTACCCAGAGTCTACAGCTAGAATTCCAAGGCCAGAGTTGGCCCGTCATCCACCCTCAGGGTGGGGTGGTAGAGACTATAGGGGTGGGGGCAGCATATGCTCTTTCACTGGGAAGGGCCGGGCTTAGGTGATGTCTAAAGTCCCTTCCAAACTAGAAGCTGCTCCCCAAGTCCCCTCCCTGGAATCGAGCTGGTTCTTGCGAGCTGGGGGATGAGACTGAGCCCCAGTGGAGCAGGGCTACCAGCTAGTGGGGCTGGCTTTGCAAGGAGCAGAGAGTGAGAGGGGGGAGGGAAGGGGAGGAGGTGACTGGCGGTTATGGGGAAGAAGGATGGCTGAGGTTGGGAGCTCTGGAGTCCTGGGTCTCCCACCCACAGTGTGGCTGCTTGGGTGACTCAGCCAGGCTCAGACTCTGGCTCCGGGGGGTTTAGGGGACTTATCTAAGCTGGGAGCTGTGTCTGGGCCAGAGTTGAGGCTGCCTTCAAACACCCCCCCAGTCCATTGTTCTCAGTTCCTTTTGTACAGACAAGCTCAGAGTGGTCCCCTCCTCATCATTAATCTGGCAGTGGGCTTCATGCCCAGGCTGAGAGGTTCTCACTAAGCTGGGGGGCTTAGGGCAATGAGGATGAGAGTTGGATGGGACTATGGGAAGGCAAAACAGGAGATGGGACTTTCCTACTTTCCTCACTCAGCCCCCAGCCTCTAGGACCCCATGTAATATAGAGCATGTTATGGGGTTGGGGTGGAGACTTAACTGGGGTCTGTTCTTGACCTCACTGAGTGATTCCACCCTCCCCCAACCCAGGTTGCTGACACTTTCTACACATGCACATTCTGCCCCCCCCCCCAGGTCACTGACACTGAAACATGCACATTCATATTAACTGAGGAAGAAAGGAAGCAAGTAAGCATTTATTAAGCTCTTACTATATGCCAGGCACTGTGCTAAGCACTTTTAAACTATTATTACATATGATCTTCACAAGCAACCCTAGGAGGTAGATGCTACTACTATCCCCATTTTAAGGTTGAGGAATCTAAGGCAGACAGAGATGAAGGTTATTCAGCTAGTAAGTATGTGAGGCTTTGGTCTTCCTTTGTTTTTTTTTTCCCTGAGGCAATGGGGTTAAGTGACTTACCCAGTGTCATGCAGCTAGTAAGTGTCTAAGGTCACATTGAACTCAGGTCCTCCTGACCCTAGTTCCAGTGTTCTATCCACTGAGCCACTTAGCTGCCCCAAATTCAGGTCTTCTTAAGGCAGCTAATTGAAAAGTAGATAGAACATTGGACCTGGAGTCAGGAAGACCTGAGTTCAAATCCAACCTCAGATACTCATTTACTAGAAACATGAATCTGGACAAGTTTCTTAACCTGTCTGCCTCAGTTTCTTCAACTGTAAGCTGAGGATAATAACAATAGCACCTACCTCCCAGGGTTGTTGTGAAGATCAAATAAGATAATATTTGTAAAGAATTTAGCACAGTGCTTGACACACAATAAATGCTAGTTTCCTTGTCTCCTTCCCCCTTCCTGACTCCAGGCCCAGCCCTCTATCCAGTACTCCACTTAGCACAAGTTGGAACCTCATGGTTGAGGGAAGAGAAGGGTTAACACAAGGGTATGAGACCTTGCATAGGGTTGACCCCTCCCCCTAATCCCAGACAGAATTCCCCTTTACTCACTGAAACAGGAGCTGGTTT